GGGCTCTTGATTGAGATGTCAATGTAGTTATCAGACACGACAAAATATATTGATCATGCAAACATTAACGTCAAACTTTATCATATTCACGTGATTTTTTAGGCACTTATTTAATAATTAATTATCGATTGACATTGATTATAAATTATTTTAAAAATTTAATCTCTTCAAAAAAATATACATTAATATGTCCTTGTTTGACAGTTGACTATCAAGTTTATCCGGATATTTTTTAAAAAATTTACCCTATCCGAATAAAGAAGGAGATACCCAGATATATTTCAAAAAACTGAAAAATGCTTGAATTATTTACCCTAAGAAAGCGGCTACCCGAGTAAATATGCATGGTCCTATAAAAACGCAAATGAGAAACAAAAATTCAAATTTACATCTCCCCCGCATGGTGGTTATAATTTAACAAACAATCGGTAGAGAATCGGTATACTTTCACTCAAATTACTAAATAATCATTGGTTAAGTAGCAGGTCGTTTACATAGTCAATATCCTTGCAACTACTAATAAAAAGGCAAGTAACTCATTCAACTCATTAAATCTCATCCTTTATCATTCAAACAGAGAGTTTACAAGTTGCAGAGCGCCTTGTGCACAAAGATAAATCTTTTACCGTCAATGACACTTGTGCAGGGCGCCTTGTGCATAAGGATAAATCTTTTGCAGAAATGTCATCTTTATAATCATCAAGGCTCTGAGGGTGAGTTTCGATTTGTAAGATTTATCTTGCAAAATGCAAGGCTTTTATAGTCAATGACACTTCTCAACTTCACCACAAATCAAGATGCAAAGCTCAAAATGATAAAAGATTTATCCTTGCGCACAAGGCGCTCTGCAACTTGTAAACTTCACCACTCTTCTCAACTTGCAATTTTTGTTTCTCATTTGCGTTTTTATAGGACCACGCATATTTACCAGTGTAGCCGCCTCCCTACTCGGGTAAATAATTCAAGCATTTTCCAATTCTTTGAAATATACCCGGGTATCTCCCTCCCTAAAATTTTCAAAAAATACCCGAGTAGGATGAGGGATACCCGGGTAAGCGTGATGGTCAACGGTCAAACAGGGACAAATTGATGTTATGTTTTCTGAAGTGGTTAAATTTTTGAAATAATTTATAATCAAGATTAATTTGATAATTAATTATTAAATAAAAGCTACAGTGGTCAAAAAGCCTATTCACGTCTTTTAGTTTCGCCAAGCCACCCAATTATATAGTGATCTACAGAAGATACAAACCATTTGAAGTAAATTCTATACCGGCCTATATCAAAAAAACAAAGCCAGGTACTATGATAAAGGATAATATCAGCTAGGCAAATAATAGAGAACAATTTGTATAGAATTGATATTTGTGATAAAGGAAATTATGAATAGAAAATTTCACCTAAATCAAACGTTAGGATTCCCTTCATAACAACTAACTTTCGATAACTCACTGAAATTGAGCTTAAACTTTCCTATCAGTTAAGTACTAGAACTTTTTCTAGCACAACATGGGATATAAGATATTATTATTATTAAATAATATTATTATCAATGATATTATTATATCTGAATCGTTAATTTTCAGCAATCAACGGTTATTATTTCAACAAATTAATTAATAAAATTAATTATTAATTCACAATAAATAATAACAGTTTATTGACGAAAATCAACAGTTAAGATATAATAGTAAGATTAGTATTAATAATTATGGGTAAAGGATGTCTCCAGTCAACGAAAATAAGTTATATCCGGTGAGCCCAAAACGACGTCATTTTAAGACGAAAATCAAGGTGTTTTTGCAATTCTAATATATTATAGGGTTATATTAGTCTTTATCATTATAGTTTTTTAATCTTATAACCTCAAAAGGACATCGTTTTGAGTTCACTGCAGATAACTTTATCTCCATGGAGAAATACTTTTCCTAATATTATTTGATAATAACAATATCCGACGTTATATAGCTTAACCTAATCCACGTTTTGTTTTTTGAAAAAATAGTAAAGATAATGATAAAAGAACAATCATAATGCGTCGTTTGAAAACAATTTAAATTTTGAGTAATAAATGTTTATAATTTTGTGCGATTATATTTATATCTACATTAATTTATTTAAAAAAGAGTTTAACATTAATTAATGGTAAATATCTGCATTAATATCTCACTTCCTTTTTCCCGTACATCGCACAGGTAATGTCCTAATATATATATATATATATATATATATATATATATATATATATATATATATATATATATATATAGTGACACGTTCTTTCTTTTAGAGATTAATAAACGACAATCGCTTACAAAATTTTTGATCTTTTTCTTTCGTGCATCGCACAAGTAATGTACTAGTTTGATTTTTATTTTTTTTTGATAAGCTGAATTTTAAACATGATATAAGTGAGAAAAGAGTTTAACATTATTCAGTGACAAACAGCTGTATTAATATCCCACTGCTTTTTGCAATGATAATTATTAAATACGAATTTTTTCCCTCTTTTTGAATTATTTTTTTAAGTTTAATTTTTAAATTTAAACTTAAAAAAATGAGTTTTTTAAAAAAACACCATTGAAAAAATGATGGATAGGTTGAGAAAAAAATACCATTTAATTATTTTTCTTCAACTCATTGAAAAAAAAAATACCATTGGTAGGTTGAGATTTTTTTTAGCCTGCTGTAATTCAAAATGAGAATGATGGATAAAAAACTATTCTGAGATTATTTCTGGTTTTACTCATACGAAATATGATAGAAATAAATAAATCACCCCACTTTTTAAACATTTCTCCCAAAAAAAAAACTCATACCAAACACCCCTTCGATATCTTCCAACTGCTACTTCAATAATCCCTAGCTAGCCAATATACAATTATGTTGCTCATCACAAAGGACAACCTCAGGTTGACGTGCAAGACATAAGGCAGTGTTTGGTTCAGGAGAAATTTTTTTTTACTAGGAAAATGTAATTAATAGAGAAATGGTTGAAAAATAATATTGGTAGAAAAATATAAAAATAGTTGTTTGGTTGACCCAAATATTACCAGAGAAATTTATTTAAATATGCAAAATCTATGTTCGGGAGAAACTTTGCACTTGTTTTTTCACTTCTCCAGTTATCTCAAAATACCACATCTTAAGTGGTATTCTGTAACAGTGAATTTCATCCAAAAATCAACACAAAAGTCATTTTCCCATCTATCCTATTTGCCTGGTATTTTTTGAAAAGACCTGAACCAAACGTGATATTTTTCAATATCCACTTACACTTTCCCATCAATCCCAAAATAAACCTTCAACTAAACACTACATGAGAGTTTGGAAGATTACATGAATCTTCAATGATTCTAGCATACATACTTTTTATATAAATTCTTCAGCATTCTAGTAGCAAGGGTGGTCAACACTAGTAGCAATAATTATTTCTCTAACAAAAAGATAGTAGGAATTAAAATAGAATTGTTTGGAATAGATTTTTTTTTTTAAAGATTATCATCATATCCAAATTTTAAACTTTTTTTTTTTTTTTGGTGAAACAAACTCCAAAGACTTAGAACCAATGTAAATTACATAATAAATTAGTTAGTATTTATATCATTATCTTTATAATTGATATGTAAATCTGAAATAATATGAAATTATATAAATAAACAAAGGGAAAAATATTTCCGCAGTTAATGCAGAGAAGTTATCTGCATTTATTCCAAAACGACGTCGTTTTGGTATTAAAATCTTAAAAAATTATAAATATAAAGACTATTATAACCCTAAAATAAATTAAAATTACAAAAATATCATGATTTGCGTCCCAAAACGATGTCGTATTGGCTTACTGCAGATAACTTATTTGCAGTAACTGCAGAAAAAGCGAACCCATAAACAAATATATAAGGGTACTAGAGTTGTTAACGGGCCGAGTCGAGCCGAGCTTTGATCTTAAAAGGTTAAGTCTGTGATTAAATGTGTCGGCCTTACCAAGCCTGTTACCTGTTACGAATATAATTATCGATCTATGGTCTGTCTTATTTACAAAAAATAAAAGCCTGATTTGGCCTGTTAGCCTATTAGAAAAAAATAAGACAATAAAATTTTATCCAAACAGAATATATAATCAAAAACACTAGTAATTCCATAAATATTCATAAATTCAATGTATATCGAAACAACATAATATAGAATAAAATCATTCAAAAAGTCTGTTTAACTAATAAAATAGAGGTGAAATGGATTGAGAGGAGAGAGAGAGAGGGCTAATACAAATAGTATAAAAAATATAAATAAAAATAAAAATTTATATACTAAGCCAGCCTGAGAGGCTCCAAGGCCGAGCTTTTGAATTGGAGTCTGAGACCTTTTTACTAAACGAGCTTTTATATAAGTCCAAGTCTAGTTCCAACAACCAATATTAGGCATGTAAGCCTGAGCCTTCACGAGCCGAGCCAAAGCCCCTGAAAGGCCCATGACTCGTTTATCACTCCTAGGTACAACGTAAACATTAATGTATTGTATTTTGTAAATAATTTTCTCAATTTTTTTTTGGGAAATATGTTTCTCATGTTACATGAGACAAATTATCTCATGCAACACACAAAAAAGTAGATGAGATCCATCTTTTTCCTTTCTCTCTCTTCTTTAAAGTGGGTCCTACTCACTTTTTTGTGTGTTATATGAGAGAAATTATCTCATACAACATGAGAAAAATCAAAACTTTTTGTTTTTATAAATTAGGAATGTAAAATATGATCAGCCAAGACACGAGCCCAATAGAAATATAATTGATCGTGCCTCATTAACATTTACAACCTTGACTTTGTTATCAACAGGCATGTATGCAGCATGTCTAACAATATAACATTAATCTGCAGTTTACATACAATATTATCTGCAGTTTCCATCATTGCATTTCTCATGAGCCATGAATAAGGCAAAAATACTAGTCATAGATTCAGAGTTTACATACAATATTAACTGTAACAAATGCCAATGAGTACCTTCCATAGAAAGGAATCTTAGCTTTAGTGGCATTTTGCTTCAACTGATCAAATGCACCAGCTCTGAATGTATCTGCACATACTAGACCTGGCTTCCAGCCTTTCTTTTGATGATAATATGCATATTTAGTACAAGTTGTGGTTTTTCCAGATCCTGAATTCATTTAAAAAATATATAGGCATACATAAACAAGTGCATTTTTCTTTGAAAATAAGTGGACAAACAATAAAGGATAAGGAAAGTCACATATTGCTTGGTGTAATGTATAAATCGTAAGTACAAAACTTAGTAAGCATGCTTTGGGATGGTTAGTTGACATACCAGTGCGGTTTGTGTCAATTGAATATAAAAGCAAAATATAAACAAACAGCAGGTAAACTTATTTAATAGGCAACAAACCTTGTAAACCAACAAACATGACAACACTTGTTTTTCCTTTTTTGAGAGTGAAAGAGGGCTTTCCAGGATCCAGGATTTTGCAGAGTTCATTGAACACAGCCTAGAATAAAAAAGAGTCCATAAATGATAACAGGGAATATAATAAGAAGCCATGACAAATGTCAAATGCATATTACCTCAGCCCAACTGTGCAGTAAAAAAAAAAAAAAAACAGTAACAACAAATTCAAACCCGTTCTAGGTTCTAAGTAGGTAAGTGTTGGTCTATCAAGGCTGTTACTGTTGTCCTATTTTCTAGGAGTTAATTAGTTGTTTCTTTTTAATTTGTCAGCTTTATTTTTAGGAATGTTTAACTGCATTTTAATTTTGTATTGCTCTGTTAGTTTGTTGTTGATATTGTGGAACAATAAGTTAGTGGGCAACTTACGAGAGAGTTCAGTTTTTGTATTTAAGTTTATTTAGTTTTCATAATAAAACACCTTTGCAAAATATAGCTTCTGCTGCCCATTCTTTTTTCTGCAGAGAACAACATTGGTATCAAGAGCCTTCTTGATCTTAAGGGGCTGCGAGTGACTTGCGAAATTGATGGAGGGAGGATCAAGTGGTTTTTCAGCAATGGCTCCACCAACATTTGATGGAGAAAATTATCAAGTCTGGGCAGTGAGAATGCAAGCCTATCTAGAGGGTTATGATTTTTGGGAAGCTGTAGAAGTAGATTATGAAGTTGCTCTCCTTCCTGGAAATCCAACCATCAATCAGATCAAGTTTCACAAGGAGAGGATAACAAGGAAGGCAAAGGCAAAGTCTTGTTTATATGCTGTTGTCTCACCTGCCATTTTCAGCAGAATTATGGCTTGTGAATCAGCCAAAGTTATTTGGGACTTCCTCAAAGCTGAGTATCAAGGGGATGAGAGGATCAGAAGCATGAAGGGGCTGAATCTGATCAGAGAATTTGAGAGACTGCAGATGAAGGAGGCACTGACCTCTCTGATAATAGGCTAGTGCAAAAGATTCTCATTTCCTTGCCCGAAAGGTTTGAGGCAACCATTGCCTCTTTGGAGAATACCAAGGATTTGTCTCAGATCAGGTTGGCAGAATTGCTAAGTGCTCTACAAGCACAAGAGCAGAGAAGGTTAATGAGGCTTGAAGGAAGTACAGAAGGAGCTTTGAAGGCCAGAGAACAACATAATGTAGGAGAGAAAGGGAAGAAAGGAGATGGCAATAGTGGTTCAGAAGTTGTTGCAGAAGAGAATAGTGCAGTCAACTCTAATAAAAACTGGGGTAATTATTCCTCATGTAAGCACTGTGGAAAACAGAATCATCCACACTTTAGGTGTTGGAAGGGGCCAGATGTAAAGTGCAGAAAATGTCAAAGGCTTGGACACATTGAGAGGTTCTGCAAAGAAAAGAGAGATCAGCAGCAAGGTGAGGCACATGCTACAGTTCAGCATGAGGTAGATCAACTGTTTGTTGCCTCTTGTTTCTCCTCTTGTACTCCATGTGACAGTTGGCTTGTTGATAGTGGTTGCACAAACCACATGACAAGTGATGAAAAGCTATTTAGAGACCTTGATAAGTCATTGAAGTCAAGGGTGAGAATTGGAAATTGAGAGTACCTAGAAGTGAAAGGTAAAGGGACTGTAGCAATAGAGAGAAATGCTGGAACTAAGCTGGTTTCTGGTGTGATGTATGTGCCTGATATTGATCAGAATTTGCTAAGTGTGGGGCAGTTGGTAGAAAAGGGATTTAAAGTGATATTTGAAAAGGGGAAGTGTTTGATCTTTGACTCTAGTGGTCAGGAGTTGTTTAGGACAAAGATGCAACATAAGAGTTTTTCTCTAAATCCTCTTGAAAAGGAGGAAGTGGCATTCAAGTGTCAAGCTAGTGATTCAGAGATATGGCACAAAAGATTGGGGCATTTTCATTACAAAGGTTTGCTATTCATGCAGAAGAATGAAATGGCAACTGGGTTACCAATCCTGGAGGAGCAAATCACAAGGTGCAAGGCTTGTTTTTTGGGCAAGCAGACAAGACTTCCTTTCAAAGAGTCCACTTGGAGAGCTACAGAGAAGTTGCAGTTGATTCATACAGATCTTTGTGGTCCTCATGTGACTCCTTCACTAAATGGCAGCAGGTATTTTCTTATTTTCATTGATGATTATACTAGAATGTGCTGGATTTATTTCATGAAGCAAAAGTCAGAGGTTGCTGAGGTATTTCTGAAGTTTAAGAGATGGGTTGAGACCCAAAGTGGCTGCAAAATTCAGGTCATCAGATTTGATAATGGAACAGAATACACTTCGCAGAGGTTTAACTCTTTCTGTGAAGAAGCTGGAATTGAGCATCAACTTACTGCTCCTTATTCTCCACAGCAAAATGGAGTTAGTGAGAGAAAAAATAGAACCATTATGGAGATGACTAGGTGTCTGCTACATGAGAAGAATCTACCAAAAGAATTTTGGGCAGAAGCAGCAAACGCAACAGCTTTTTGTTGAATAAACTGCCTACAAGGGTATTGGAGAAGAAGACACCTTTCGACGCTTGGTTTGGTTTCAAGCCACTACTAAGAAATTTGAAGGTATTTGGTTGTTTGTGTTTTTCTCACATTCCACAGGTCAAGAGAGACAAGCTGGGAGAGAAAGTTGAACCTGGGATCTTTGTTGGCTACAGTCTAATGTCAAAAGCTTACAAGATCTATCAACCACAAACATAAAAGGTGATCACTAGCAGGGATGTTCAGTTCCTAGAAGATGAGCAATGGGAGTGGACAGACGAGTCACGAGCCAAGCACAAGCAGATCTCACTGGAATTTGATGAGGTAGATGATGTTCCAGTTAGAGGTACCAGATCTCTGAATGATATATATCAGAGGTGTAGTGTGGATGTTTTGGAACCTTCAGGTTATGAGGAAGCTAAAAGTGATCAGAGGTGGATGAATGCTATGAAGGAAGAGTTGACTATGATAGAAAAGAACCAGACATGGGAACTAGTGGAAAGGCCTGAAGACAGGAAAGGGATTGGAGTAAAATGGATTTTCAGGACGAAACTCAATCCTGATGGCTCAGTGAATAAACATAAAGCGAGGTTGGTGGTGAAAGGATATGCACAGGTTTAGGGAGTTGATTTCTCATAAACCTTTGCTCCTGTTGCAAGGTTGGATACAATTAGAATGACTCTTGCTTTGGCAGCTCAACAAGGGTGGAAAGTGTATCAGTTAGATGCCAAATTTGCTTTTTTGAATGGAGTGTTGCAAGAGGAGATTTATGTTGATCAACCAGAAGGTTTTGTCACACCAGGTCAAGAGGATAAAGTGTATTTGCTAAAAAAGGCTCTTTATGGCTTGAGGCAAGCTCCCAGAGCATGGTACAGCAAGATGGATGAGCACTTGCTGAGTTTGGGTTTTGAGAAAAGTCTTAGTGAATCCACTTTATATGTCAAGAAGTTAGTATCTGACTTAGTGGTGGTGTCTCTGTACGTGGATGATATGTTGGTGACAGGGAATAATAGTTCTCAGATTACTGCATTTAAGAAAGAGATGATGAAAATGTTTGAAATGACTGATCTTGGTGAGATGTCTTATTTTCTGGGGATGGAGGTTAGGCAGACAGAAAATGAAATTTTTATCTGTCAGAAGAAGTACTTGAAGGAGATCTTGAAGAGATTCAACATGGAGGAGTGCAAGAGTGTAAGTACTCCAATGGGTCAAAAGGAAAAACTTCAAAAGAAAGATGAATCAGAACCTGCAGATGAAAGAGTTTATAGAAATTTGATTGGCTGCCTTATGTATCTCACTGCAACTAGGCCAGACATTATGTTTACCGTAAGTGTCTTATCTAGATTTCTTAATTGTCCAAGTGAGTTGCACATGGTAGCTGCAAAGAGGGTGTTAAGATACTTGAAAGGTACTCTTTCATATGGAATTAAGTTCTGCAAAATTAAGAAGTTTAAGTTACAGGGGTATTCTGATAGTGACTGGGCCGAATCAATGGATGATATGAAGATTACTTCAGGTTATTATTTTACACTTGGGTCAGCATGTTTTTCTTGGTGTTCAAAGAAGCAGGAAATAATGGCTCAATCAACTGCAGAAGCTGAGTTCATTGCAGCTACTGCAGCTGTAAATCAAGCATTATGGTTGAAGAAACTGATGGATGATCTGCATTTGGAGCAAGAAGAATGCATAGAAGTATTTGTGGATAATCAAGCTGCTCTAGCCATTTCACAGAATCCAGTATTTCATGGAAGAACAAAGCATTTTAAGATCAAGTATTACTTCTTGAGAGAAGTGCAGAAGGCTGGAGAGGTGAAGCTAGTGTACTGCAGTTCAGAAAACCAAATTGCAGATATATTCACCAAGTCATTTCATGTTGGTCGATTTGAACTTCTGAGGGCAAAGCTAGGAGTGTGCAGCACTTGATCCAGGAGGAGATTGTTGGTGTATCAAGACTATTACTGTTGTCCTATTTTCTAGGAGTTAATTAGTTGTTTCTTTTTAATTTGTCAGCTTTATTTTTAGGAATGTTTAACTGCATTTTAATTTTGTACTGCTCTGTTAGTTTGTTGCTGATATTGTGGAACAATAAGTTAGTGGGAACTTACGAGAGAGTTCAGTTTTTGTATTTAAGTTTATTTAGTTTTCATAATAAAACACCTTTGCAAAATATAGCTTCTGCTGCCCATTCTTTTTTCTGCAGAGAACAACGGTAAGTAACACATGCAACGTAAAAATGGTACATGAATATGGGTATAAACATGTAATTCATCCCTATTGCGTTCGAAATTCAAAGAGAGATTGAGTCAATTTGTCTCAACTCCCATTTATTCCAAATTCGAGGTTGAATTTTGTTCAGTAAAACAAGTCTCTTTTTTTTAACGTAAATGAGCAAAGGAGAGGTAAATGGGACACTATATGTCCTACTTCTAAATCTACTACTCAATCCAAAGTCCATCAAACTGCAATGATAGCATTTCTATCCGCACAAAAGGAAAATTTTGAATTGCTACTCATAAGCCTCTTATGCAGACTAAGACAATACACTTTGGCTCTGTTTGAATATTGTTGTACAAAACAGTTTTTTAGTTTTCAGAACAAAAAAACTAAAAAACTCGTTTGTTAAGATCTGTTTATAAAAAATGTTTTGAAAACTATAACTGTTTCTTTGTTTTTAAAATTTGTTTTCTGTTTTGGTTTTTAACTTTCAAAAAAAATAAATACAGAAAACATCTGTTTCCATAACTATTTTACAAAAACAAAAAAACCAGAACACAATCAAACAGGCCCTTTGTTACTAAGATCCAATCTCAAAAATAGGTACTAGAGTATAGTATTTCCAATGGAAAAAAAAAACAAAAAACAAAAAATTCAAAACCTTGCTACGATATCTATTTAAATAAACACAAAAAGAAAAAAAGGGGTTACCTGCTGGATGATCCTGCGTTTGTTGTGACCAGCAGCGAGCTCATCGAGATTGACAATCTTCTTAATGTTGGTTTGCATTTCACGGACAAGCTTGAATTAAACATCGGCTTGGAGAAGAGCTCGAGTGATCTCGTTGAGGCAATCGTTGAGGACCTTCTCGTCGATGATGGTGGCATTGTTCATCTGCTGTAGAGCACGTGAAATGCTCCCACTTAACTGTGCTAGAACCATCTTGCCGCCAAATTTCTTTGATCAAATTCTGAAAGGGTTTGCAGGATGTGTTGGTGACGTACGACTAGGGGTGTACAAAGGCTAGGTTAATTTTTGGCTTAAATAGTCTAGGTTTGTGAAAAAAAATATTGGGTATAGCCCGGCCCTATTAGCTTGTATAGACTCTAAATTACAAGTCTGACTTGACCTATATTTAAAAAATAAAAATTTTGATCTAAGCCCGTTAATCTGTTTAAGCCTATTAAACATGGTTTTTTGACCTTTTTATCCTTTATTAATTAAATAATAATCATTTTGCCCCTTATTTGAAACTATCTAGCAATCTTCCCTTCTTTAATCGATTAACTTGAAGATTCAATCGATTAAATGGTCAAAACTGACAAAAATGATTGACTTGAAGATTTAATCAATTAATTCTTCAAATTAATCGATTAAATCTCCCAACAGGCAATAAAAGTCAAATCTCCTCCATAAACAAAAGCAGATTTCATGCATATGAAGCAAATCAGCAAGTTAATAAGAGCTGATTACGTTTTATATTTAATAGGAGCTGATTGCGTTTTGTATTTAATAGGAGTTGGTTGTGTTTTGTATTTAATAGGAGTTGATTACGTTTTATTAGGAGTTATCATTTTACGAGTTGGTTACATTTGTATTTAATAAAACGCAATCAACTCCTATTAAATATAAAACACATTCAACTTCTATTAAATATAAAACGCAATCAGCTTCTATTAAATACAAAACGCAATCAATCAATGTTTTCACGCTCATTTGATATATTTACTCATTTCATTGAAATGTTGCCCATAAATAGGCTCAGAATTACAAATTACAAATAAATTTGAATTGGTGACAATCTGTAACCAACTCGTAAAATGACAACTTCTAATAAAACGCAATCAGCTCCTATTAAATACAAAACACATTCAACCCCTATTAAATACAAAACGCAATCAGCTCCTATTAAATACAAAACGCAATCAATCAATGCTTTCAAGCTCATTTGGTATATTTACTCATTTCGTTGAAATGTTGCCCTTAAAATTTAAATAGCCCAAATAAATTTGAATTGGTGACAATCTGTAACTAACTCGTAAAATGACAATTCCTAATAAAACGCAATCAACTCCTATTAAATACAAAATGCAATCAGCTCCTATTAAATACAAAACGCAATCAATCAATGCTTTCACGCACATTTGATATATTTAATCGATTAAATATAAGTTTTAATTGATTAAATCAATTAAGAGGGAGATTTAATCGATTAAGAGGGATATTTAATCAATTAAATCTTCAGGTCAACCACTTTTGTCAGTTTTGACCATTTAATCGATTAAATCTTCAAGTTAATCGATTAAAGAGGGGTAGATTGGTAGATAGTTTCGGATAAGGGGCGAAATTGTTATTAATTAATTAATGAAGGGCAAAAGGGTCAAAAAGCCTATTAGACATAGGCTTATATGCCCAACATGTACAAAAAAAAGTCTATGGCTTGTTTTCTAAATAGATTTTTTTAAAATTATTATTTTAAAAATCTGGCCTAATATAAGCTAGGTCATAAAAGCACACCACTAGGTACGAGGGAGAATATTAATTATAGTCGTTTTTATGTGAAAAACTCAAAACTAAAAAAAAAACTATGGGTTGTGGTATCTAATACTAAAATTCGACTAGCAACTCTAATATGAAACTTGTATATAAGGAGCTCTCTAGTATCTCAGTTTCCTAGTCTATCCCTTACACAAATTTTCACATGATATTCCCAGTATAAAAACTGGTATCCAAATTTTTCAACACAGACCTTCAAAAAGGTCAAGAAGAAAATTACTACCTTGGTTCTTCTTCTCTTCAAGCATATAATCTGGATTCCTATGCAGTAATATGCAATGAGTCTTATTTATAATAATAACACTTTATCTCCTCCTGAAAGCTAAGAGATATAAATTCGAAATCTTTTCAAAAACAAATCAGAAATATTTTACTCTTAAATGAAATTTTAAATGCAATTTACAAAAATAGGATT